TGATTAACAAATCGGACTCCCACTTTGCGGTCGTCCAATTTTGTTAATCACTCGTATGATTACAGACTGAATTGGACTCCACTCAGTCCTATTACCATTATTAATGGTACTGCCTACTGAATCAGGTGCCAAATTTATGCTCACTTCAATCCTCTAGCCACTTCATGTAAGAGTGCCATGAAACTACATGTAGATGCAAGCAATATAATTATTAATCCAAATAAAGTTTTTATCCATGCAGAGGCACATTTTGTATAATTTAGTAGCAAGTTGTATGAGCAATATGATTAGAGTAATGTATGTTACGTCAGTTACGCCGTTCCTTAGTGGTGCACCCCTTCGTAAGAAAAATACTGGATCTACCCCTGCAATATTGTCTTGGCAGGCTATAAGAGGGACACCCAGTTGGAACCCAAACCTCTGCTTAATGGGGAGGTTGATAAGTTCTCTTTTTACAGTGTTTGTACAGTGTTAGTGGCATGGTCCTTGAAAAAAAATGTCTGCCTACAAGAGCTATTCATTAGTGGAAGTTGATCAGACTGAGTACTACAGTATATTTTGATCCTCTGTACAGTTGGTAAAAATAATAAATTATTATTGTTTGTTATTCAATTCCATAGTGTCAGAAACTGGAATACACCTATGATATTTGACCTCAAGAATGGAAACATTACCCTTATTGTCCAGACTGAAAAGTGAGTTTACTCATTAAAATTATTGCATTACAAGTCAACTCTCATTCTTAAATTTGTCATGTGAATAGTTGCCTTTAGTTAGTTTGTTAATATTTTATCATGTGTTGCTACTCAATGATTCTCGATGATTGCAAATTAACTAATTAACTGCCTATTTCTCCTCAATGAACGATCAATATATAGGGATTCAGATTTAGCTTCTATTAACCGTGCAGGAGGTCTCTATGCTATGGGAGAATCTTGACCAAGGTTGTGAGCACCAACCGTGGGCAGTTAGGTCTGTACACACGACCAAGGTCAAGATTCTCTCATACAGACCGACTAAGCTCGGTTAATAAGATGTTTATTACATGTACATGTATATGGCAAACAAGAACAATTTAATTCAGTTAATGTAACTGGTTTGTACAAACTGACATTTTGTTTGCAAGTGGCGATGAGCTGAACTTAATTCTGCTGAAGTTTGCTCATCCTCTTTACTTTTTTTTCTCATCACACTTTTTGGCACTTCCATTAACAAATATTGGTAGAAGAAAATACATTGTACTCAGCATTTTTGCATTTTAGTTTGCAACTTTTCACCACAAAACATTACCAGTCTAGATGCCAGTCTAAATGCTGGTCTAGACTGCTTTCAATATTGATTTCAGCCGATCAAATTTGTGAATTCGGTAGTTCCCAGTCCTTGTGAGACACAGCCATATATAATAAAACAAGGTATGACTAAACAACAATACTAGCCAGTAAAATGAAATTCTTAGTTGTACTATAGTTACAGGAAATGTAAAAATGACATTTAAAGTTTCAAAACAAAAATTATTTGTGATCTCGAGGTTATAGCTATAACTAGCACCAAATGATGAGATACATGAATAAACTATTATTCTCCTTGAAGAAAAATCTTGAGATTGCTTTAATTTGCACTGTTGTTACATTTCTACAGGCATTTTCTATTAGTTGATGATGCCGGTCTTCAAGTTTATTCATATGAGGTTTGTATTTCAGTACTGCCTTATTCCAACCATAAAAAGTAAAAATGTTCAATATTTTTAAAATTTTAATTCACCCATTTGCCCGGGGAGGGGGAGGGGGGGAGCTGAGAGGGGACTCAACGCTCTTATTTCCGTTTGTAGGCTCGATTTCTGCCAGTCTCTCGAGTACAGTCTACTAGCGTGGGCTCCTTTCCTGATCAGCGGCTGGTAATCGAACCTATTCCGTTTTAAGTGTATCNGGGGAGCTGAGAGGGGACTCCGTTTTTCAATTTCCGTTTTTAGGCTCGATTTCTGCTGTTCTCTTGAGTCCGGTCTACTGGCTTGGGCTCCTTTCCTGAGCAGTGGCCGGTAATAAAATTAAGCCTATTTTGTTTTAAGAGGTATCTTTTAGGGGTTTAATAGAGTTAGAGCCATGCCCTGATTAGTCTCCTCTAGGGGTTTGATTCAAATATTTTCCGATGAGCGTCCCTAATGGGCAACCTTTTCATGTGGGAGTCCCGCTGGGCCTACATGTATTTGTTACTGGTATTCCTTATATTTTGGTGTCATTGTAACAAGAAAGCTTATGGTGTTTGTAGGCCTGATGTCAGGACAAGGGCAAGCAAATTCAGCTATCCTTTGAATGCATAATCTGTAATAAAAGTATTCATTTCGTCTCCTTTCTTTGTGATTTCTTTGTTAATTATATCTTTTCTTCCTAGAGCTGAGGGTTTGATTTTCAATACTTTTCTTTTTGAACCCTATGAATTTTGTCCTTCTTCATGTACACAGTGAACTAACCTTGGTTTGTTACAATGTACTCTAGCTTAATGATCAAATTTATAGCAAGCAAACTTTTGATATTTTCTTATTCTGTCATCTTTGCATCAGGGTCGTTTAACATGTGTTCCAAAGTACCAGGGTTTAAGAACAGACATTCTGAATGAACAGACTTGTACATTGAGTAATGACACCTTGGCAATCAAAGATCGGAAAGATGAGAAAGGTATTGTAAACAAATTTATATATTAATTCTTAACGATGATAATAATATGAAGTGGAGTTTTATGTTAGTTTTTCTGTCGAAAGTGATCAACAAAATTGAATGGTTCAGAGCTCGAAAAAATGTGCCGTTTGGTCATCCTGGACAAGTAGATTTTCCTGCTGGGTAAGTAACTTTTCAGTCTTGCTTGCCCAAGGGGCAAGGGATCAGTCAAGTCATCTGCTAACTAAATGAAAAAAGTAAACTAAGAGTTGCCCAGGGCAAACAAAAATTGAGAGCTGTTTGTCCAGTGTGAAAGGGCTAGATAGAAGTCAATTTTTTTTTTTTTTCGAGCCCTGAGTGGGTTATGGAGCAAATCTCCATGTAATGTGCTTGTTTTGTCATGTGTACAAATAACTGAGTACAAAATTATTTTTAACATTTGTATGCAAATGATTAAATGGTGCTCTCAGAGTCAGCATTGTTTTATTTATTTTGTTTCAGTGATCCATTTATTTGAAGCTCAATCAGGAAAGCCAGTGGGTAGTGGACAACCAATACAGCATTCTGTAAGTATTTAATTCTATAAATACCCTTCAAGGGTTTTATCAAACAGGGTAATGTTCATATCCCTGTACATGTAGATTCACATGCATGTCATTCTTTGTTCATTCAAGAGAATCTGCCATTTAAGTCCAACTGGTGCTATACTCCTCTGACTAAGAGATTGTTGTTAGGAGCTTCTTAGAGTTATGGTTTGCGGTTTTCGACAGAGCCCCAACCAACCACAGATACTTCAAATTACATCTCAATGTCTGTAGACCTGTTCAAGTAAAGAATTTTCCTGGTTGAATCTCAATTCAAATCTCTGTTGAGTGGAGGAAGAATGCTTACATGTATTTCTTTGTGTTGAGTTTCTCCAGCTTAACTTGTCCTAATCTGATTATACTTTTTCTGGTTCTAGCTTGAAGTGATGGAGATTGCCCTTAGCCAGTGTGGTCCAACCAGTGACAGACAACTGGCAGTTATTGACAAAAACAGGGATCTCTATCTCACCCCAATCAAACACATTGGCCCTGCAGAAAGGCTGGTTAAACTTGGTTAGTTTAGATGACTTAACATCACTTTAATCTGTATCTGACTACATGTAGATAGTCCCATTGTGATAATCACATGTAACAGGGTGCCATCCATTTCAATCTGTAGATCAGTAAGTTAGTCTCACTAGTGGAATGCATGGAATAGCATTTCATGTCCTTTAGCTTAAAGGACCCTAATCAGCCTCTGCTGTTTTCAATGCCATCGAAATTATTGATATTGAATAGTGAAGTGATATCTTATTGTTTTTCTGTAAGTCATGTTTCTGAAAGTAAGTTAATAATTATTTTTATTTAGTAGTTTCACAGTGATTTCCTTCATTTCAACATGCTCCGATTAAAATTCTGAATAAGACTCTTTCATGTAAATAAAAACAAAATTCCTAATTTCATGCTTGTGTCAAGAAAAAAGAAACTGTTTTGTAACTAGTGAGACAATCTCAGATAGTGCAGAGTGTAATTTACGGCTCTGGTACAGTGGTCACACAGGTCCTCACCCCTGCTGTTCTCTCCCTTGGTAGTCAACTAGGCCTTTTCCCCATTGCAGAATATGAGCAGACAAAAACTTGATAAGACATAATCTTAG